GGATCGAGCCGCCGAGAGTGTGCAAGAAGTACCATCAAAAGGAGATATGCCAAAAGGAGCGTATATGCGAGAGGAATCAACCGTTCCGGGAGGAGCACCGTTCGTATCGATCCGAGATCTGTAGACGGGAGGAGACGATTTGCGAGAAGCCGCCGCTGCCCAGCCAACGCGTCGCGACGACTAGGCAGGAGGAGATCACGGAGATCGACAAGGAGGTGACGGATTCGACGCCGGCGGACGAGCTCGCGGAGGAAGGCGTCGGAGGGATCAAGGGGGAGCACGACTTCGTAACGGAGACGTCGGAGGAAGTCGTGGATGGGATGCACGGGAAGAAGAAAATGACGTTCGAGAAGGCTGTTGAGAGAATCCCGTCTCCCGCGCGCCCGAGCTCCCCTGTGGCCGTGGAGGGGAGAAGGGAGGAGGAAAGGGAGGAGACGGTGGAGGAGAAGTCGGAGGAAATTTACGAGAGGAAAAGGTCGACTCACGTGGACAGACAAGTGGAGGAGACGGAGGAGAGGACGGTGGTAGAATCAGCGGAGGCGGTCACCCCCGCGGTGGACGTGCAACAGATGGTGGAGAAAGCGAAGCGGGAGGAAGAGGAGAGGAAGCGGGAGGAGGCGGAGGAGGAGCAAAGAAGAAGGCGCGAGGAGGAGGAGCGTAGGAGACGGGAGGAAGAGGAAGAACGGAGCAGGCACGTGACTTTTGAGGCAGAGGAGGAGGTGGAGGAAGTTCGGGAACAACCTCTGGGAAGAACGGTGGTCCGCGAGGAAAGGGTGACGGAAGAGGAGGGCGACACCCCCGGGAAGAAGAAACTGGTGAAAGAGACCTACGAGGAGATCACGGAAGAGGTGTTGGTTCAAGAGCGCGTAAGAAGAAAGGGGATCGAAGAGGATCGGAAGAAGAGCCTGAGGGAGCAGGTGCAGGTCCATCAAAGTTTGAGGGATCAACAGGCACCCAAGGATAGACGCGTGTGCTCCAAGTATCCCCCGGCTCAGGAGATCATGGAGACTAATAAAAAACGCGTGCAGTTTGTGAAGCAGACCGACACAGGCCCGAAACCGATACCGCATTCCGCTCTTCAGAATTCCACCCCGAAAGAGTGGAAATCCGAGATGGTGAACGCCTTAACGACCGCGCCTGACCGACCTTACACGCCTCTCAGTACATCTTCGAGCGTGAAGGAAGTGTACACCGAGGAGACGATATATCTGGATCACAGGTGTCGGCCTAAACCACCTCCGAAGGAGGAACTCCGGCCAATTTCCCCGTTTCAGGAGGCGCTAATGATCGCGCCTGAACGGCCGTACACGCCGCTCAGACGCGAGATCGGGCCCGACGACCAGAAAATCGCGAGCCGTTCTCAGACTCCGGTGCTCCAAGGAGGCGTCCATTGGCCGCCTTCCGATATCCTGTTCGGCGAGGGGAAAATCCGCGCGGAACCACCTCCCAAACCGTCCACCCCTCGGCCTTTGCCCACTCCACCGCCTGATTATCGCCTGAGAGACTCTTCCCCCGTGAGATCGAGGCCGCAGACACCGTGCAGCAAAGCTATAACGGCCACGTTGAAGAAGCCGGACACTATCCCCTCTTATCAGAGATACTTAGTGGCGACGAGGAAAGACGCGGTGGAGAGCTACACGTACCAACCGAGTAGAACTCCCACGCCAACGCCAGGAAGGTCGAAGTCGCCCGCCCAAGGGCCGCCGGAACCGCCCTCCTGCTTCGTCAAGGCCCACGCGCCAAGAATAAGGGA